ATATTATTTAAGTATTATATATTTTTTGTCAATTACAACAGCTACCAACAATTATTGTATCGGAATTGATAGGGACTTTTCAATAAATCCCATATGATTTCTCAATATATACAAGGTGTGAATGGCGTTGTGGAAGTGTGTTGGTGACAGTGAGAGTGTGGGTGTGGATATGGGTGTTGATGTGCTGAAATATGACCATTATTAATAAATCCCGTAGAAAAGATAAATTCAAAACAAAAAAAAAATGAATCCCGATAACCCTACAACATAAATATAAATAAGAATGGATGTATACTTGAAGTTTTTTAAATTTCGTATGAAGATGCAAATATGTGTGTGGAGGACGTGCATCAGTATGTATGTTGAGCATCACGTACCCAACAGATATTTCACTATATAATTTTGAATATCTAATAATCAAATTAATTACCAATATACGATGATGTCAATAATATTTATCATTCCATTTCTTTTTAAGAAATCTATTCGAAACTGAAACTGTTAATTGATATGATTTACGCAATTATTTATTTATATGATTAGCTACTAACATAAAGATGAATAAATTCACTATAAAATATAAATCACTGATATTAATATCGATTTTTCATAGCTTAACTAATATCAGTTAAGAAAAAAATGCGACATTAAAATAAGAATATGAAATAATATGGAATTTCACCATAATGTAAACAACAACTTTGACAACTAATTAATTTATGGAAAATACTTTAATAAGAATTGAAGGATAGGTAATTCGAGTTTTCAGCTAGAATTGAAAAATTCTAGTCTTCATGCACTTTCTTTTAGCACTAATTTGGCAAGATCATTAACACATTCTCTTGACTTATGATCAGAACAAAAAACGATTCTTTTTTATTCATTATTGAATAGGTATATAGAATATTTATCTATTATAATTAGATATTTAAATACTAATCTATTGAATTATTCATCAAGTAAAGTCACCAATATATTTACGTAATTATATTGATAAGATGACGATAGAATGCATTTCAATATATAAGACAAGCCAACGAAAATATATTATGTCAAAAAGTTTTTGTCAGTTGATTGTTAGATCCAGAACACATTCAACTATAGAACAAACCTTCTTTTTCATTGAATTTTTGCAAGATTTTCAACAAATAATACAAATACGATATTTGAAAGATCGACTATTTATTGAACAGTTTCAAGGATTTTCCATGAGTTCGAGAGGGTTTATTGACTTTGTTTCGTTGATTATTGATGTTTTCTATCAGTTTTAAACGACCTAAACCTATTATAAATAAAGATTTTTCAAATCTCATCTGTTTATGTTGTAGAACTGAAATATTTGAAAGTTTAAAAATTTGGATCTCGAATAGTTCTAGATCGTTTCGTAACTGAATATAAACATCAATAATTGACTGAATATAGTCACTTGATCTCTTTCGAGATTTTTATTGTCGTAGTTGAGGTCGTCGAAGACGTATGGAAAATGTTCGAACTGTTGGATAAATAGTACAACTTTCAAATATCGTATTTGTGTTTCTTGTTGAAAAGTCTTCGAGAAATTCGATGAAAAAAAAAGTCTTCTACTAAAGTTTGATGTGCCATGAACTTGTCTCGAACTCGATGTACTATAACTCGTCTTCTGTTATGTAAAGCGTAAAATTTGCTATTTGTATTCTATGAACAAATATAAGTATGTCTTGTATATATTGATGAAGAAATTTATTTGAAAATCAACAAGATGTTATTCAACAAAGCATTGTTTTCGTTGTAATTTATGTTTATTGTTAAAATAAATAAGAAAACAAATCTGACTAAATTAGTCGCGTCAAGTTTCTTGAATGGTTTATTTTCGAGTTTTTATTGTTTGTTGCATTCGAATGATAAAAACAAAAACGTTTAGATTATAGAAAATATTTAATATAAAGAGAAATATAATAAATTGTTTTATCAATGGAGATATTCATAGAACAGATCTTGTCATATATGATTATCGCTATTCTATAATTATGTTTGTTTAATTAAGTAGAAATTTTTCTTTTTTTTATTCATGTCTGCAATAATCGATGAGATTTATGAAAAATGACGAAATTAGCCAAGTTCATTTATAAAATATATCAATATGAGATAGGTTCGAATGATGAAAATAATACGGAATAACGAGTTAATACTTAGAATAAATATGTTAAAATTTAGGTGACAGGATTCATATTGATAAAAGATGACTAATACAAGACGATATTGATTAGATAGGAAGCTTTTATTTTGAAGACATGTTTCATATTGACTTGAATTATAGTTTGTATTGATTAATGCCATTATCCATTTCTAAATTAAGTTTAAAGAAATGTTAACAATCCATAGAGCTAATCTATTTATCATTCTTAATAAAATAGTTCCTTACTTTTACTTTTATTAGATATTATTTCAGTTGAGTTACCCTTGACAAACTTTATTTTTGTAATATATGACTATAGTTAACTGTCTTATAAAAATAAGAAATTCAATTGAGAAATATATGACAAAACAAACGAAATTAATATCTGACTATGATATTCACATGTTTGTTTTTAGGGAATTTTTCGGCAGTTTCATATTATATTGTTAATATTTGAAAAATGATATATAGTCATGTTTGTGAACAAAATCGATCGACCATTGAATTAGTTGATAGATGGATGGAATCATCCGAGGAATCTATCAGTAAAACCCAATAATTAGTAAAAGCTGGATAATGTACAAATGTATTTAAGTTGTTTATTAACATCTGTTAAAGAATAGAGTACCTCAGCTTCATAAATATTTTAAAACATAATCATCAAAAACTTACTAGATAAGTCATCTAATTGACATCTATTTGATTTCAATTGCCAATGGAAACAATAATGCATTTTTCTATAATATAAATTGACTATGAATAAAGAAATAGAACTATATATTTCTTTTTCTTTGTGAAACATATTTCATATGATAGACATCCACAGAATGTCTTTATTTATATTATAATGCACATAATAAGATAATTAAGATAGTATTCATATGTGATAGAATTCAGTTTTTGGCATTGAAAATTATTTTATCTAAATAAAATGATATTTGAGAATAATGTTCATAGACATTTACGTTGTTTGTTATCCAATTTAATTGTTCTTACAACTATGAAAGATAAAAATCAAATGACAATTTTTTTTTAAATACGACTTGCTTTAGTATCAAATATATGAAGGTATATATTCATTTTAAGGCTTAATGTGATTGGTTGATTGATTTATAGTACTAAAGCAATTATTAGTCTTTTTCTGTCAAGTATCCTAAAAAATTATTACAGTCAGTGAACTGAAAGTTTTAAGATGAACTGTTTCACTACTTAGCTGGCAAAAAATATACATCAATTCATAATAGATTATCCAAATATGACTAATTGTCAAGACGATAAAATGTTCTACTATGGATGATACCAGCAATTCATATGATGATGAAGATTTGTTGAATTCTTGATAACATAAGAGTAAATATTAAGAAATATCGAGAATCAAATGATTTTAAGGATAAACAAAAAGGCACAAGGAAGGAAAATAAACTGAAAATTAGAGATATGATCATTATACTACACTGAAGTCTTGATAATTCTTTGGGCTGAAAGTAAATGAACAAACATCACTATTTGACATCTCGAACTACAAAATAACTTTCGTTGATAGAAAGAAGAATAGGATCAAGATCAAATTAGCTTTTCTTTTGTTTTCATTATTATCCACGAATTATATCATGCTTTTTTGAGTTTGCAGGAAACTCAAATGAATGTCCTAAAGGGCCTAATATCCTTTGTTCAGGGTCCTCTCTTACAGATATAGGAGATAAACACAGGATGACGAATATATGTATTAATATTTAGTTGAAAAATCATAAATTAAAAATTAATTTGAAACTTATGACGAATACCTACAAGGAATTACCAGGCATTACCCGGCATAGGTGCTACGAAAGTACTCACACCGCATCTCTCTGAGTGTGGGTGCCGCGAAAGCACTAATAATCCCTAATATAATCAATGTCAGATTACAGAATCTGTATAAATCTGACTTAGTTTTTAATTAATTTTCGTCATGATGTCGACACATAAGAGGTAATGACCACATGAGATTTAGCAGATAAGTCTTCATATCTTGAGATTGTCGATACCATAGAATGGCATGCATTTGACATCTCTCTAGTTGAGGATACTACAGAAAGACTCATACAAGACATCTTTCTCAATGGAGTTGCCATGGAAAATCGTACCCCTAACCACACTTGCAGCCGATAACGGTAAACAGTCAATCTGGTCTACTCCAATAGATGCTTTCTTTCTGCCAGATACATACAAGTTTTTTGTCACATTTTGTATAGTTTTCTTCTATATCTCTAATACCTCTTGTATCTCCAATACCTTCATTACCTCTTATATCTCCATCACTTCCTTTAAATGGAAACTGGCAAAAGTTTTAGAAAAATTCAAATAAAGCATCTAATCCAATGAACGATTACAAAAAAACAAGGTAAAAACAGCTACTATTGTTAAAATATAGTTAACGATTTTAAATTAATGATCTTTTTCTGAATTCATTTTATCAACTTATATTGTTCTTAACATAATTTTTTTGATAGAGAACATATGTTTATTAGTTCAATTGATATAAATAAAATTGAATATTTATATATTTTCCAATGCCATGGATAAAATGTAAATTCTATTATTAATATTTCAATAGTTATTCATTTATTCTTAAGTTCGAATAGCTAAGATATTTTTCAAGAAATAGAAGCATTTTAATGCACATAAATTGTTCTTATTTTAGAGATAGTGTAATAACTTTTCTCTAGGGAGATGTGAATATTTGCTGTTTAAACATAATGTTCTCAAAATGAAGGAATAGTTCTTTATTTCCTACAAATACCAAATGAGTACAATGAGAAATGTAATACAAAAAACAAAAATGTTATACAAAAAAAAAAAGCAAAAATTATTTTTTTTCGCCACATGCATAAATCACCACTTTATCAAGCGGTGCACCACCAACTTGATCATCAGAAGTAGCACCAGCACCACCAACTTCATCATCAGAAGCAGCACCATCACCACATGTAGCAACACGAATACCTAAAATATAAAAACACCGTAGATGAATTAAAAATAAAATAATACATACCATTCTTATTAATTGATTCTAACATATCAATACCTTGAACTATTTCACCAAAAATAACCTAGTTAAAATAGATAGATTTAATAAATATTCCAAAATAATGTTTAACTTACATTTTTATCATTGAGAACAGGTGCTGGTCCTAAAAAGTGAAAAGAATTTATAGATTATTTAATAATAAAAAGAATAATATATCCACCTAATGTGATAAAAAATTGTGTCGTTCCATCGTCGACACCCATACTTAGAAGGCCAATTTTGTCATGAATAAAACCATTTCTTTCTTTTTTTACCTTGTCCAAAAACCTAAAAATATGAGAAATAATAACATTAAAAGAATAATTAAAAAAGAGAATTTATACCTATTACCATTTGGTGTACAGATTGACACTTTACCACCTAAAACAAAATAAACAGATGCTCAAGTTATTTTATTTTCACAAAATTTTTACCTTTGATAAATGTATTTGGCATTAAATAATGAAACGTCGAATTCTCATAATTGAATCCACGCGCACCAATACAAATAGATCGAAAATATTCTACAAATAAAAAGAATATTAAGTTAATGAAAAGGTAGTGATTTACCAGCCGTGACAGGTGCTGCATCATGATACAACTAAAAGAAAATATAACAATAAAGGATGAGATTGATGGAAAAATTTACTACATACCTTAATTAAAATATCATCACAAAATTTGTTATTAATTTCTAAACTCATAAAGCAAATTTTGCAGGACAAATCTAAAAATAAAGTGATATAAACAATTAAACATTTTCAATACTTACCAACAAAATATTTATTTATTTGTTCTTCTCTTTCTTCTAAATCTTTCAACTTTTGTTCAATATGTTCTTTTTCTTGTTCAATTTGAACTTTTTCATTAACAAGTTTTTCAGCTACAGCATTCTGTATTTGTAAATCAGATTCATTCATAATTAATGGAGGTGGAGCTGGTGCTAAAGGCGGTGATATAGATGATGACAAACTATGCTATAAGAATGCATGAAAACGTAAAAAATATTTTCTTTTTCAATCAGTATAGTTTTTACTGCATCATTTTGTGTTTCCGTGACATTTTCATTTGTATTAAAATGTGGTGCTGTAGATGAAGTAGATGATGAAGATGAATTATCCTACAAATATATTTAAAAAAAAGTAAAATATAATTTCTTTTTCTTTTTATAGCAAAATAAGCGGTTTTGAATTGCTTAATAATTAACTCAAGATCTATAACAATATTTTATGCATGCTAGCGAGTAATGCAAGAATTTAGTGAGCGTGAAATTATGGAAATTATTAATAAAAAATATGTCTTTTTCTGTTTTATCCGAAAATGAATCAAAAACATCATTCTTTGAGTGTTGGTTCCAGAATGAAACATCTTTTGAGATACGCATGAGACAGTTGAACTTCTGGAGCAAAAAGGTCAACGGCTATGAACAAAACTTGAGATCTTTTTGCGAACTCAAACTTTTAAAGTTCTTATTTGATCGCTTAACATTCTTATTCATGCGCTTGAGTTCTTGTTCATGTACGTGTAATATTCTTGATTATTGGAGATCTTTTCTTTTGGAACTCTTCAGTCATCTTTTCGATGTCTACAGTATTAGTTACTAACTATTTAACACAGAATACATAGGCATGAGAAAATAAAAGTATTGATACTATGAAGTTTGTTTTGTGGCAAATATTATAATGCGTTAATCATAAAAGTAATACGAAACAAATGATTTTTTTTACTAAGTGTACGAAGCTTTTATTCAGGCAACAATGTAACACCACAACTGTTAATTATTACGATGGCTAACGAGCTGTGATGTATTTCTCAAAGTTACACCTGATAGATGCATAATAAAGCGAAACAAACAATTACCTCATGAAGATCGATTTTTAGTATACTGAGCAGATTCCTAGAGAATCAGCTCGCCGGTTAAATTATGATCATAAAAGAAATAGTGAACGGAAACATTAGGAGCGGCACAAATTAAAAGAAAAACTCCATCTCAATCATCAACAGCTGATATTAAGATTTGACTGAATTCTATCATCTCTCACAGTATGATTGTTGTAACGTATAAAATTAATTTTAATTATATTCTACACATGATTTTCCTTTTTCCTTCCTCAACTTCATGTTCAAAAACGATCCTATTTATACTAAAAATTAAGTTGAAATATAAAACGTCTCAATATGCATATCTCAAAGGTAGCCCACAAAAGAGCGTAACCTCAAACAGCATATATGGTGGAGAGAATTCTTCCATCTTCAATAGCTTTGATTTTATTCCTTTCCAATTGATCTTTTCCATAATACTCATTACTATAATTATTATGTGTGCGAGGCATGATTTGCTTTCATTGTATCTATAATTCATGCGAGCGCTCAAGTGCTTGTCAATGGAAAGAAAGTCATGCGTTATAAACAAATCTTGAGATCTATGCCTCTCAAGAAGGTGAAAAAAAAGTTCAACTCAAATTCATGGATGCTAATGAAATTTCTAACCTGTGGAAACTATAAATGGTTAAATCATATTTTTTTCTTCTCACATTTTTTTTTATTAAATAGCATTTGTATAAAATAATAAAATGAAATAATAATTATTATCAATTCCCGAATAGTAGGAATAAAGAATAATCGTAATGTAGCACTCCTGTCTGTAGTACATTTTTTTACTTATATCAAATAAAAAAAACCATAATATATGTGGGCATAAATATATTTCTTTTTGATCACTTGTCAAAACTATACACTGATATAAGAAACTCACTTACAGAACGAATATTGTACGATTTGCACATTGTGACCTGTTTCAATCGCTAGAAAAGAGATATGAACAATTCAAAATGAGATGTCTTCCTTCTCTCGTTCTTCTTTATAAAAGAAAAAAATATGCACGCAACATAAAGATAATGACGAGAACATTGTTTTCTTCTCTCTTTCTGAATAACCTCATTTTGTATGCATCTGGTCGAACCAATCCCGTTGAACAGTCCCGTTATTTTATTTCGTCAACACTCGTTCTGATATAGTTCACCATGATCACTCGTTATTCTCCATTTCGTTGCTCTTCTCATTGATGAAAGAACTTCTATTTATTGTATGAGTAGAAATACTTGTCATTCTATTTTCCTTCATGTTTGCCTTTAAGAGAAAGAAATGATAATATAATGCATAAGCTCAAATGTAGCGGTAGTACATTACGACTACTTTGTATTACTGTTATTCGACAATTAATAATAATTATTATTACATTTTATTATCTATTTATTTTATATTATCATTTACTTTGTTTTTTTTATTATTTTGATTATATTAGAATACTTCGATTGTTTCTTATTAAAGAACTACGAAATAGTTCTTTATTACTTGGGAAAAACTAATAATCAGATAATAAGTAATAAAGAGTGATAGATTATTACTATAATAAAGTAATAACAAAAAGATTAAATATGGCGCATAATGATCACTTACAAGACCAGCATCACGTGTATTATTTGATTGGAAAACATTGATTTCATCTGAACTAAGTGATGATATATTATCATAATATGTTAATAATTGACGATTTGTATTTCCTTGTTCTTTTGCTTTTCTCTAAAAATATTTAAAAAAAAGCAAAGATACATTAATTGATTGATATTTTTCCAATGTCACTCACTGTTTCACTCGTAATGGATACAGCAAAACAAAAAAAAACGAATACCCGGGTCGATCAAAACGGGTACCCGTTACGGGGCCGTTTTCGGACAGTAAACGATGAAAAAACGGCTAGTTTACGGCCGTAAATAGTCCGTATTACCCCGTATGAGTGGATGCAGTAATACGGTACCGTATACGGTGAAAAAGTCACTGTAAGTACGGTCCGTAAAACTGCATCCACTCAGACGGCCGTAATACGGTCCGTAAAGTAACCGTATCGTCCGACCTGGGTAGTGGAGAAAAATTTGTAATCTAAAAATTTAAAATACTAATTACACTTACAAATGAATTCTTTTTTCGTCTAGATAATCTTATTTGTTTGTATAATCGTGAATTTTCCTCCTCTTATTTCGTCAAATTCACGATTATAGAGAGGGCTCATTACCGATATTGTTTTTTTTTGTTTTTGATTTACTTTAACATCGAACGTAGCGCTGTATTTCTAATTGGTGGTTGCAAGTGGTCTTGAGACAGTGGTAATGGAAATGAAACTTATTATTCGAGACATATTCTTTAAATTTCATGTAAACATTACAAAGTTTTTGTTTTTTTTAGATCGAATAATCATTATGAGTGACACGTGGTATAGTAAAACTAATGAAACGATTATTCCGGGTAATCCCGATCGTATCCGAGCTTGGTGGGATCCATTACAATACTTGAATGTCGCTAAATATCTTAAAGTATTTAATGAATATCCACGCGATTTTAATCCACGTGTGCACGGTCCTTATTGTCCATGGCGCTATTATGGAAAACGTATGTTTAATAATTAAATATATATATATATATACATTATTTTCATATTTCTTTTTTGAATATTTCAAGGCGATCTTCATTTGGGTGATGTGAAGGTAGCTGATCTTCCAGCATGGATTGCACGACGAGATAAAAGTCCAATGGGTGTATATCAAGCTGGTATTCGAAGTAAGTTAAAGAATAATTTTATTAAAGAGAAAACAAAACATAAAATATTTCATTTAGCTTTTTGGAAATTTTATCGTAGTTATTTGGATAACAAAAAACCAAATCTTATTTGGTATACACAAATTTTTGTTGTCGCATCACTTATTAATTTTGTCTTCTTTGCTATGCCTGATAGAAGTAATATTATTATATATTTATTTAAGTGATCTTTGTTTTTTGTTTTTATAGAACAGTACAAATGGGCCAAATATCATTAAAATTGTATTGAACTGCGAAGACAATTACTATTGCTCCTTGTCCGGTTCCTCATATTTGTTCCCCTCGTAGCTATTAAGCGTGTGATTTTCTTTTAAAATAAAAGTTTAGAAAGATGAAGTAATTATATATGGACTAAATCATACGTTATCCACATGACTTCGCCTAATTAAAATACGTTTTTCTCAGAATAATGATCCTGTTTAGAGTTAAAGTTACTCAAAATATTTGTTGAGAAGTTCAAAAGATATAAAAACATATCAAGATTCTGGAGAGAGAAAAGTTTTTGTTTCGAAACTTAACAAGATCTATAGAAATTCAGCAGTGGACAATATGACCCATCGATGGGGAAATCGTTCCCATTTATGGAGAAATCGATCATCCCACATAAAATCGTACATACTAAGGAGCAATGGAAAAAATGAATATATATATAGATATATGTCTATCGTTCACTCTTTTTGAAGATATATTTCATTAGAGGAAAAAGCTTTCTTTACAAAGAGAAATGCTTTAACAAGCAGAAATCGAAAAACCAGAAAAATATATATGTCATTCAGTATTCTTGCAGGTATATTCCATTCAAGGAGAAATCGTATCAACCGTACTGATCTTAGTAGATGCTCTTTTTCAATTTTTCTCACACGATTTTAGAAATTTTTTTCTACGCCAAAAAATGCATTCGTTCTACCAGGCAATTCATGCACAAACCATATGCACGCGAAGACTAGCACAAAAAACCATCTAATACTTCATCTTTACCCCTTCCTAGAAGTCACTTAATGCATTTAACACGTCTCTTTCAACTACGTCTCAGCAACTAAGAGCAAATTAATTCTACCAACAATCAATAACGTCCATAACATACCAAATTCCTCGTGGTAATCCTCCACATTTGAGAAGGAAAACATGACTACGAATTCCTACATCATTTCCATTTCTGCCTATCATTACACAAGCGGTGGCGCCATTTCTCCTTGTACTCCATCCATTTCTCTCCACCAAAAAAAACTTCTAGTATTCGGATAAGAAACCCCGAAGAAAATGATTTATTACCCCTTACGACAATCAAAATGGTTCAACGATGTCTCCTTGAAATATTTCGTGAGGGTAGAAATCGATTGTGAATTTCTGTTGAAAAATTCTGTATTTCTGCTGCAGAAAATCCATTTCTACTAGAATTTCTCCTTATAGTGGAAAAATAATTCTATTCATTTCGCCTTATAATGTAAGAATAATGTGATCGATTTCTCCTTGTGAGAATAGATATAGTTGATGCGTTTCTAATCGAAAAGATTTAGTGGTGGAGTGTGTTTCGCTATGAAAAGCGTTTCTGCTGTAAGTGGAACAATTTCTCGATTTTGGGTGACATCGTCAAGCCCTCTAGAAATTAAGGTTGAAGGATGAAATTTTCTGAAGTCTAGAAAAATAAGCCTTGTAAAAAATTGAAGTAAAACAAAAGGTGGGTATGATCCATTTTTATCTTAAATGGACCANTGTTTCTTTATGTTTTATATACCATTTTGTAGCTCTTGAAATTCTCTATCGAATGGTATATAATAGTTGGGGTTTTAGTTGACTATGATAGGAAAAGTTGTTTACGAAAGCGGGAAAGGGTCGATCTTTCCATAGGGAAGGTATAGGGAAAAATGAGTATTTTTGCAATAACTCAGGAAGGGCTCGGCCAATCCTTCTCATCTTCGAACTCGACCGAGATCTTGTTAAGACTGAACTGTGTAGAAAATCTCATCGCGATCTGACTCTCCTTTCAAAAGTTATCGTGTAAACGGCCGGCCGGACACACTGACCGATTCTAGAGTGTACTCACTTTTTGAGTACACAAAAAGGCATGGTTTGTATTTGAGAAACATGAAAAAGTTTTTTTCCTCAATATTTTGACAAGTGTCTCCAAGGATTTTTCTATCATAAAAAAAGCTCGCTTTAGTGTTTTCTGAGTGGGTGTGACTATGTTCAAACGAGAACCGTGATTGGGACGATCAAACGTGTTTTCGGCGACCCGAACATCAAAGACTTACAATCATATCAACACCCACTAAAGTTCATCTCAGCTCATTTTCAAATTTTCTTATACTTTTCATAGGAAAAATTCATATTCTATCTACGCAAAACCCGATCGAATATATGACTACTTGCAACAAGATTGATTTTGCTCAAATTCGATCGATGTATTAGTGACAAATAAAGGATTTTTTTTTTAATTCAAAATTATCTTACGGTTAAAACAGATAATATAAGATCATAATTATTAATAATAAAAATTAATTGTTCTTTTCTTTGTGGAAATTCATTAGACATTCGAAGAATAAGAGAAAGTATTTCAACTTGTAAACGTGTCATTAATGTTGAAATTCTCTCATTTGCAAATTCTTCATTTAATCTTGTAACAGCTCCAGAAAATTCTGCATAACGTCGAACAATCTAAATATTTCATAAGAAACATTCGTTTATTTATTTTTTTTTTCAAAAGATAATCAAAAAAAAAAATTCTTCATACAAAATGTGGATTAAGTTCAATAGATGAAAATTTATGTGGTTCAACACGTTGTACACTATCAATATTAGATTTCATAATAATTTCAAAACGATTTTCACATACATGAATTAATATTTCATGAAATCTAAGAAATAATATCATTTCTTATATATACGATATAAAAAAAAAAGAAGACAACTAAGCACTTACTTATTTAATATAGGTACATTGCGTTTATTAGCTATAACTTGATAACGATAAATTAGATGCATACAAAGTAAAATAGCTATAGGATCATATGAATCTGATATAAAAGTTTCGACATTTTTTTGTAGTAATTTAAATGTTTTTTCAAATATTTCCGTGAAAAATTCTGGTGCTGATCGATTATTTAACATAAAAAAATCACATAAAAATAAATATTCACGACAACAATTATCTAATAAAGCATATTGTTCACTACGAAATAAATATTCATATGGATACTTAAAGAAAAAGAAATCAATTCGAATAAAACAATATATTTTTATTTTACTTTTGTTTCAGCTTTTTGTTGAGCATGTGGAATAATTATTGGAGCTTCTAATTCTTGTTTAAGTACACAATCACGATTACCCAAACTGAACACAGTTGCACGATGTTTTAGATGTGGCTTTATTGAATAAATATATTAAACAATAAGAGAAGGAAAAAATAAAAATAAAATAACACTTACACGAGCACTTGCTGAAAAAAATGACATATTTGATCGAGGACGATCATCAGCACCAAGTACATCGTCTTTATCGGGTTTTTCATCTAACTATCAAGAAAAAAAACGATACAAGAATCTTTTTGATATTGAAAAAGATAAATTTTAGGTTTCTCGAAATCAATGAATAGAAATTTTGAAATAGACATACAATGAACAGGTCACGTTCGGGTTCTATACGAAAATATTCTTTGGCACGTGAAGCTTCTTGTAATATACTACATAGCTTATAAGAAGTAATGATCATTTGGCAGATATAAGACAAAAGATTTTTATCACATAATTCTGTGAATTTTAATGATCTGATCATGGGAATAAGAGAGAGAGAAGTTACCATTACATGATCTAGTAACGAATAAGAAAACATTTATGACTATGATTATCTCATCACGGAAATTCTTTGAAAGTGTTAAAAAATTTTCAGTAAAAATTCTTCGAGTCGAGGAATCCTCGTCGTACGACACTTCTTCGACCAAGTAGATTTGGATATTAGTTTTGTCTTAGCCAATCAAAGATTCAAAATGTTCTCGTCTTTGCTAACTCAGAGAAAACTATAATAAGACCTGATTTGTTAAGCACAATGCCATACTGATTGATGACAAATGAATAACAGAAAAATCTTTACTAAAATCTATTTCGCTAGGAAAAAACGTTTTTTCAATCAATTATATTTCAGCGGAGATTTTCTTCACTGTTGTAAAGATAAAATAGTGTTGTTCTATCCGAGCGGTCTACGAAAGTTTACGGTGTGAGATATGGGTGTAAGTTGATAAGAGTGAAGAGAACACGCGCAACCATTATTCATATTCAAACAACAATAAAAACACTTGTTTTCTTTTTGAATTCATCTCAATAGTATTTATCATTTAATTCATTAGATTTTATATGAAAAGATTAAATATATTAAATGTTCGAATAAGAATAAAGAATTTCATCTGTTTTATTTACTTGAAGTTTAATTAGTTTAGTTGAATAAGCTTTAAAATATGAAAAATAAACTTTGCTTAATGTATCAATATATTCTCGTCGAATTTCATCGGCTATTTGTCTATCACTTGTTAATAAAAATTCATAAAAAAATCTATTTCTTAATAAAGCATTTTGTGGTACTTCATAATTAGTCATTGGTTTACGAAATTGATAAATTTTTTGTAATATAAATTCACGGAGTTTACTAATTGTCTATTAAAAATAAAATAAAAATTAACAATTTTAGATTATTAAAAGAAAAAAAAAAATTCAAATAAAATATTACTTTTATGCGTAATTTTTCTAAAACTTCTTGTACATCTTGACAAGCAATAGCATCATGAAATGATTGTTCTTTAACAAATTTCATTTTATGACTTAATTCATGAAGTTGTTCAAGAAATTGTCGTTCTGTTACTGGTACATCCATAATAATTCTAAAAACGAAAAATTTATTAAGTAAATTACAAATCTATTGAAGTATTTAATATATATACTGTATCATTGATTGTGGTACAACCATTTCATCAACAACTTGACTTAATTGTCCACGTACAAGTTCTCGATTCTTTTTTTTAATATTTAATTCAGCTGAATATTGTTGTAAATGACGAATTTCATTACTTATATTTGCTAAATTATTTTGAAAATTTTTTAACATATGATCCATTGACTATAAACAATCAAAAGTAAAAAAAAAAAAGAAAAGTTTTTAGACTAATATAAAGGAAAATTTACTTCAAGAATTTTATCACATGATGATATTTGTACATGAAGATTTGCTATATTATTTGCTTCACCGATAACTTAAAAACAAAACAGAAATTTTTGTTAAACAATTTTAATAATGAAATATTTAAATAATTCATAAGTTATGGCTTCTTATTCGAGCGCAGGGTTACGTTAAAGATGCGCAGAATAACCCTACGCCGCCCGGCTCGACGATTTTATCCTTTTTTGATATAACTTTTCCTGAGATTTGGTTCACCCCTGAGAGGAGATAAAGGGAAGCTCCTCTACGCATTCCCCCTCGCCTTGATCATCACTTTTTTGTTTGTAAACAAAGTTCCTTTCGGACCCAGGCCGGACTGCACGAAGGTTGAATCGGGTTGGGCGGATCTAAACAATGTTCGGACTTCGCCATAAAAAGTGGCCCGATTTCGAGGCCTGGAACATAGTCTATAGAGGCTTGCTAAAGCGGTCGGATGTACATTGACGCCGAAAATTACTCGACTAGATTTATTTTCGCTGCTGTGCACGCTAATAAGAATCCAAATAATAATGCTAGTAGAGAATTTCATTTTTAACAAGAACTTTTACAGAATAAAATGATTGCTAACTTTCAAAGGATGAAATGTTTGGAAAAGCAAAAAGCAATTTTTTCAGCTTTTAGAACTAGTAAATAGAATTCTTGAAACTAAAAACTTTGATTTTTGATTTTTCAGAGATTCCATCCTTCGGAAATTAGCAATGTTTTCATCTTCAAAGTCGATTGTTGAATGTAAAATTGTCAACTAAAAACACTATTCAGATTCTTATTAACATTTATGGAAGTAGGGAAAATTGAAAATAAATCTAATGAAATCATTTGAGGAGCCATTGTATTATAGATCTTTTTTTTTCGTGGTCCGTGATCGATGATGCGATAAACGTTTTTACACTTGTATTTGAACGAAGATTTCAAAGACAATGAAAGAAAGAAAATTTTTTGTCTTTTGAAATGATGGTAAAAAAAAATGACTTTAATAAATTCTCTATCGATTAAACTTAAAAAATAAAGCTCTGTTCATTTATGACAATTCAAATAATAGTATTCTCCTGTTTGTTTTTTTTTTTTTTTTATAGATCATCTATTCTAATACGTACAATCTTGTACAAAATCTTTTTCATGTATTTGTAATTTTTCTTGTATTTGTTCAGAATATTGTGCTAGATCAATGTTCTATAAATATGAATAGTTTTAAAGATACAAATCGTTCTTTTTTTCTTTTATTTGAAGAATATTTACTTGAGTAAGAGCTTCTTGAACAAATTGATCTTGTAAATTTTCTTCAATATGAGCTATATAGAAATATAAATTAATTGAAATTAATAGATTTTTTTATTTCAAATATAATACCTTCCATATCATCTAAAGACCATTCTTCATCAACTGGTTTATCCAATTGAAGTTTTTGTAATATATTTGCAGCCTAATACATAACAAAATCATAAGATATATTAACAAATAGATATAATAACTATTTACTTCAAGATAAAGTTGTTCACTTTCTAAATCACCTAGATCTGTATGCTCAGTATGAAATGGTCCTTCAGTGGTCATCATTCTAGATTTATTTATCTATAATTAAAAATAAAATTCTTATAAAACAAATATATAGATAATGTTAAATTTCAGCCGCCATAAGCCTATACAGGGCAAGTTTTGTTATCCGACATTGAATTTGGAATGTTGTTTTGATAAGAATTCTTCATGATAGGAAGTTATCTGGAAATTTGATCATGATTACTTTGGTCTTATCTTTTATTTCTATTGAATATATTGAAAGTCTATTGGTTATCAATCTATTGACGTCTTCTAAGTAAGACAAAAAAAACTCAAAAACACTTTATAAAACGTCAGTTAAGAGAAATAAGATAACAATTCTTGAAAAGTATTCGGACTGACAGATTATTACTGTCGAGATACTGTATCTTTTAATGGAATAACGCGATCTTCTTCAGGAAAATTGAGTTTCATTTTGAAACTTTGCATTAAGACATGTCTTACTGAAAATAACTTATTATGAAAGTTGCAGGTTTTTCGATTGTACTATCCATTGTATATGAGCGACGTAACAAAAAAATATTCTGTTACCATAGCTATATTTTAGGATAGAAGCAATCAAAAAATCTGGAACCTTTACAATAAACTATTGTTATTAAGGCATCTTTGTAAGGTGCGGGAAATTCAAAATTTGAGCATCCCATTTTTTTCCCAATGTTTTATATATGGCTGAATAGAGCTCGTCAAACTGTATAAGAAAATGTATTTTAAATTTTTTTTTCTTGCTTTATATCAAAAAAAAAATCAAAATACTTTGATGAAATCAGTCCATGTAAAAATCGACTACTTTTGAGAAATGGTATTTAAATTTCTCTTTTTCTTGCTCTAATGATTCTAAGAATATTATTTTCTTTATCAGTATGAAAAACTGAGTATAATACATTAATTTAAATTAATGTATTATACTCAGTTTTTCATACTGATAAAGAAAATAATATTCTTAGAATCATTAGAGCAAGAAAAAGAGAAATTTAAATACCATTTCTCAAAAGTAGTCGATTTTTACATGGACTGATTTCATCAAAGTATTTTGATTTTTTTTTTGATATAAAGCAAGAAAAAAAAATTTAAAATACATTTTCTTATACAGTTTGACGAGCTCTATTCAGCCATATATAAAACATTGGGAAAAAAATGGGATGCTCAAATTTTGAATTTCCCGCACCTTACAAAGATGCCTTAATAACAATAGTTTATTGTAAAGGTTCCAGATTTTTTGATTGCTTCTATCCTAAAATATAGCTATGGTAACAGAATATTTTTTTGTTACGTCGCTCATATACAATGGATAGTACAATCGAAAAACCTGCAACTTTCATAATAAGTTATTTTCAGTAAGACATGTCTTAATGCAAAGTTTCAAAATGAAACTCAATTTTCCTGAAGAAGATCGCGTTATTCCATTAAAAGATACAGTATCTCGACAGTAATAATCTGTCAGTCCGAATACTTTTCAAGAATTGTTATCTTATTTCTCTTAACTGACGTTTTATAAAGTGTTTTTGAGTTTTTTTTGTCTTACTTAGAAGACGTCAATAGATTGATAACCAATAGACTTTCAATATATTCAATAGAAATAAAAGATAAGACCAAAGTAATCATGATCAAATTTCCAGATAACTTCCTATCATGAAGAATTCTTATCAAAACAACATTCCAAATTCAATGTCGGATAACAAAACTTGCCCTGTATAGGCTTATGGCGGCTGAAATTTAACATTATCTATATATTTGTTTTATAAGAATTTTATTTTTAATTATAGATAAATAAATCTAGAATGATGACCACTGAAGGACCATTTCATACTGAGCATACAGATCTAGGTGATTTAGAAAGTGAACAACTTTATCTTGAAGTAAATAGTTATTATATCTATTTGTTAATATATCTTATGATTTTGTTATGTATTAGGCTGCAAATATATTACAAAAACTTCAATTGGATAAACCAGTTGATGAAGAATGGTCTTTAGATGATATGGAAGGTATTATATTTGAAATAAAAAAATCTATTAATTTCAATTAATTTATATTTCTATATAGCTCATATTGAAGAAAATTTACAAGATCAATTTGTTCAAGAAGCTCTTACTCAAGTAAATATTCTTCAAATAAAAGAAAAAAAGAACGATTTGTATCTTTAAAACTATTCATATTTATAGAACATTGATCTAGCACAATATTCTGAACAAATACAAGAAAAATTACAAATACATGAAAAAGATTTTGTACAAGATTGTACGTATTAGAATAGATGATCTATAAAAAAAAAAAAAAAACAAACAGGAGAATACTATTATTTGAATTGTCATAAATGAACAGAGCTTTATTTTTTAAGTTTAATCGATAGAGAATTTATTAAAGTCATTTTTTTTTACCATCATTTCAAAAGACAAAAAATTTTCTTTCTTTCATTGTCTTTGAAATCTTCGTTCAAATACAAGTGTAAAAACGTTTATCGCATCATCGATCACGGACCACGAAAAAAAAAGATCTATAATACAATGGCTCCTCAAATGATTTCATTAGATTTATTTTCAATTTTCCCTACTTCCATAAATGTTAATAAGAATCTGAATAGTGTTTTTAGTTGACAATTTTACATTCAACAATCGACTTTGAAGATGAAAACATTGCTAATTTCCGAAGGATGGAATCTCTGAAAAATCAAAAATCAAAGTTTTTAGTTTCAAGAATTCTATTTACTAGTTCTAAAAGCTGAAAAAATTGCTTTTTGCTTTTCCAAACATTTCATCCTTTGAAAGTTAGCAATCATTTTATTCTGTAAAAGTTCTTGTTAAAAATGAAATTCTCTACTAGCATTATTATTTGGATTCTTATTAGCGTGCACAGCAGCGAAAATAAATCTAGTCGAGTAATTTTCGGCGTCAATGTACATCCGACCGCTTTAGCAAGCCTCTATAGACTATGTTCCAGGCCTCGAAATCGGGCCACTTTTTATGGCGAAGTCCGAACATTGTTTAGATCCGCCCAACCCGATTCAACCTTCGTGCAGTCCGGCCTGGGTCCGAAAGGAACTTTGTTTACAAACAAAAAAGTGATGATCAAGGCGAGGGGGAATGCGTAGAGGAGCTTCCCTTTATCTCCTCTCAGGGGTGAACCAAATCTCAGGAAAAGTTATATCAAAAAAGGATAAAATCGTCGAGCCGGGCGGCGTAGGGTTATTCTGCGCATCTTTAACGTAACCCTGCGCTCGAATAAGAAGCCATAACTTATGAATTATTTAAATATTTCATTATTAAAATTGTTTAACAAAAATTTCTGTTTTGTTTTTAAGTTATCGGTGAAGCAAATAATATAGCAAATCTTCATGTACAAATATCATCATGTGATAAAATTCTTGAAGTAAATTTTCCTTTATATTAGTCTAAAAACTTTTCTTTTTTTTTTTTACTTTTGATTGTTTATAGTCAATGGATCATATGTTAAAAAATTTTCAAAATAATTTAGCAAATATAAGTAATGAAATTCGTCATTTACAACAATATTCAGCTGAATTAAATATTAAAAAAAAGAATCGAGAACTTGTACGTGGACAATTAAGTCAAGTTGTTGATGAAATGGTTGTACCACAATCAATGATACAGTATATATATTAAATACTTCAATAGATTTGTAATTTACTTAATAAATTTTTCGTTTTTAGAATTATTATGGATGTACCAGTAACAGAACGACAATTTCTTGAACAACTTCATGAATTAAGTCATAAAATGAAATTTGTTAAAGAACAATCATTTCATGATGCTATTGCTTGTCAAGATGTACAAGAAGTTTTAGAAAAATTACGCATAAAAGTAATATTTTATTTGAATTTTTTTTTTTCTTTTAATAATCTAAAATTGTTAATTTTTATTTTATTTTTAATAGACAATTAGTAAACTCCGTGAATTTATATTACAAAAAATTTATCAATTTCGTAAACCAATGACTAATTATGAAGTACCACAAAATGCTTTATTAAGAAATAGATTTTTTTATGAATTTTTATTAACAAGTGATAGACAAATAGCCGATGAAATTCGACGAGAATATATTGATACATTAAGCAAAGTTTATTTTTCATATTTTAAAGCTTATTCAACTAAACTAATTAAACTTCAAGTAAATAAAACAGATGAAATTCTTTATTCTTATTCGAACATTTAATATATTTAATCTTTTCATATAAAATCTAATGAATTAAATGATAAATACTATTGAGATGAATTCAAAAAGAAAACAAGTGTTTTTATTGTTGTTTGAATATGAATAATGGTTGCGCGTGTTCTCTTCACTCTTATCAACTTACACCCATATCTCACACCGTAAACTTTCGTAGACCGCTCGGATAGAACAACACTATTTTATCTTTACAACAGTGAAGAAAATCTCCGCTGAAATATAATTGATTGAAAAAACGTTTTTTCCTAGCGAAATAGATTTTAGTAAAGATTTTTCTGTTATTCATTTGTCATCAATCAGTATGGCATTGTGCTTAACAAATCAGGTCTTATTATAGTTTTCTCTGAGTTAGCAAAGACGAGAACATTTTGAATCTTTGATTGGCTAAGACAAAACTAATATCCAAATCTACTTGGTCGAAGAAGTGTCGTACGACGAGGATTCCTCGACTCGAAGAATTTTTACTGAAAATTTTTTAACACTTTCAAAGAATTTCCGTGATGAGATAATCATAGTCATAAATGTTTTCTTATTCGTTACTAGATCATGTAATGGTAACTTCTCTCTCTCTTATTCCCATGATCAGATCATTAAAATTCACAGAATTATGTGATAAAAATCTTTTGTCTTATATCTGCCAAATGATCATTACTTCTTATAAGCTATGTAGTATATTACAAGAAGCTTCACGTGCCAAAGAATATTTTCGTATAGAACCCGAACGTGACCTGTTCATTGTATGTCTATTTCAAAATTTCTATTCATTGATTTCGAGAAACCTAAAATTTATCTTTTTCAATATCAAAAAGATTCTTGTATCGTTTTTTTTCTTGATAGTTAGATGAAAAACCCGATAAAGACGATGTACTTGGTGCTGATGATCGTCCTCGATCAAATATGTCATTTTTTTCAGCAAGTGCTCGTGTAAGTGTTATTTTATTTTTATTTTTTCCTTCTCTTATTGTTTAATATATTTATTCAATAAAGCCACATCTAAAACATCGTGCAACTGTGTTCAGTTTGGGTAATCGTGATTGTGTACTTAAACAAGAATTAGAAGCTCCAATAATTATTCCACATGCTCAACAAAAAGCTGAAACAAAAGTAAAATAAAAATATATTGTTTTATTCGAATTGATTTCTTTTTCTTTAAGTATCCATATGAATATTTATTTCGTAGTGAACAATATGCTTTATTAGATAATTGTTGTCGTGAATATTTATTTTTATGTGATTTTTTTATGTTAAATAATCGATCAGCACCAGAATTTTTCACGGAAATATTTGAAAAAACATTTAAATTACTACAAAAAAATGTCGAAACTTTTATATCAGATTCATATGATCCTATAGCTATTTTACTTTGTATGCATCTAATTTATCGTTATCAAGTTATAGCTAATAAACGCAATGTACCTATATTAAATAAGTAAGTGCTTAGTTGTCTTCTTTTTTTTTTATATCGTATATATAAGAAATGATATTATTTCTTAGATTTCATGAAATATTAATTCATGTATGTGAAAATCGTTTTGAAATTATTATGAAATCTAATATTGATAGTGTACAACGTGTTGAACCACATAAATTTTCATCTATTGAACTTAATCCACATTTTGTATGAAGAATTTTTTTTTTTGATTATCTTTTGAAAAAAAAAATAAATAAACGAATGTTTCTTATGAAATATTTAGATTGTTCGACGTTATGCAGAATTTTCTGGAGCTGTTACAAGATTAAATGAAGAATTTGCAAATGAGAGAATTTCAACATTAATGACACGTTTACAAGTTGAAATACTTTCTCTTATTCTTCGAATGTCTAATGAATTTCCACAAAGAAAAGAACAATTAATTTTTATTATTAATAATTATGATCTTATATTATCTGTTTTAACCGTAAGATAATTTTGAATTAAAAAAAAAATCCTTTATTTGTCACTAATACATCGATCGAATTTGAGCAAAATCAATCTTGTTGCAAGTAGTCATATATTCGATCGGGTTTTGCGTAGATAGAATATGAATTTTTCCTATGAAAAGTATAAGAAAATTTGAAAATGAGCTGAGATGAACTTTAGTGGGTGTTGATATGATTGTAAGTCTTTGATGTTCGGGTCGCCGAAAACACGTTTGATCGTCCCAATCACGGTTCTCGTTTGAACATAGTCACACCCACTCAGAAAACACTAAAGCGAGCTTTTTTTATGATAGAAAAATCCTTGGAGACACTTGTCAAAATATTGAGGAAAAAAACTTTTTCATGTTTCTCAAATACAAACCATGCCTTTTTGTGTACTCAAAAAGTGAGTACACTCTAGAATCGGTCAGTGTGTCCGGCCGGCCGTTTACACGATAACTTTTGAAAGGAGAGTCAGATCGCGATGAGATTTTCTACACAGTTCAGTCTTAACAAGATCTCGGTCGAGTTCGAAGATGAGAAGGATTGGCCGAGCCCTTCCTGAGTTATTGCAAAAATACTCATTTTTCCCTATACCTTCCCTATGGAAAGATCGACCCTTTCCCGCTTTCGTAAACAACTTTTCCTATCATAGTCAACTAAAACCCCAACTNATCAGGAAAATGCAAATTTTTTTCGCAAACTCCGAGTGCAAATTTTTTTTGATAAAATTTCATCATTTGGACCCAGCATCACCCTCCATGAGTTTCATCTGGGTCCCACACTCGGAAGTCGAGATTCAGCATACTGAAAAATCCTGGATACGTCACTGCTAGAATTAGTATTTATATAAGTTCTATCTATCGTCTTGATTTTCTCGACTTACAAGCTTGTTGTAAAAGACTAGAATCATTATTAAGTATACAACCATCAATAGGTACATTAATTTTTTCGGATGTAAAAACGGCATTCATAAAATTCATATATTGTTTTGATGTATCAGTTGTTGTTTGAATAATTAATATTCTAAATGAATTTTTTTCACCAGGTAATGTATCACGTAGAAGACGATTTATATAACAAAGTGCTTGTGTTAATGCCATTGTTATCATTGAACCAGATAATGTATGTGAAGGTGAAAAATTTTCTATAAATTCTTTAAGATTATTTTCTACAACACGATCAATAACAAATAATTGTTCAAATAGATTTGTTTTTGTTACTGTTGGAATAATTAATGATTCATTTGTTAGATCAGGATAAAGAAAACATGTTTCAGTATTTGAACAACCAATTATTGTTAAACGATGATTTATATCAAATGCAATATATGCATTACAAAATTGAATTATTATTTTAAGATATTGTTTAAAATTTAATGTTGTTGATGATGAAACTTTATCAGACCAATAAAATGGATTAAGATCAATTATAACAACAAGATGTTTTATTGATGATGACATTTTTATATAAATATATATATCTAAAATATTGTTGTTCTTTTTTTTTTTTTGTAAAATAAACTAACCGAAAATAGATGCTACTGATGTCTCGTTATAAATCTATAAAAAATTGAAAGTCTACTTGTTTTCCTCTTCTATAAGATTTAATGATGATCTCATGATAATCAAGTCATAACTGACCATAGCATTTAGAGTATGGTCCGATACGTCAGTCGTTAATGCGGTTAATAGAAAAATTTCAGATCCGCAACTGGAGTTTACTTAGGATAGAAACCCTTTATCTAGCAAGTCACTTTCGAGTCAAGACTATATGATGCATTATATAGATCCAAATGAGTTATGAATATTCAGAAAAGAATTCGTATCCTTAGCTTATTGCTGCGGTTATGCTAAACTTTTATGGTATGCTGTAAATGAGTGTTGTGGTCACAGAAAAACTCATTTTCGAATTTCGACTTGAAACTTTGCATATAGACTGGTCTTAACAAGAATATTTTATTATGAAAGTTTCAAGTCTTTTGATTTACTTCTATTCTGAAATAAGAATATCAAAATCTGTCGGCTTATAGACACTCCTGTTAGATAGCGTTTCACAAAATACCATAAAAGTACAATATCTCGACAGTAATAACCTAAGAGCATGAACTCTTTTTAGAATATTCATACTTCATTTTGATCTACATATTCTCGACTCGAAAATGACTGTACAGTTGAAGAATTTCCCAAACAAAAAAATCAATATATTCTGAATATTAAGATACATCGTTTCTAAGAAAATAATGTATGTAAGTGGTATTCTAATACTAACAATCGAATACATCAATGAATGTGTATTATTTAATTTATCGACTTTTCAAAAATTTATTTAAATACCTTACTCACAATTCAGCAAATATTTTATGAAATGACTACTATGACTCATACAATTTAATTTTTATTAAAATAATTTCAAACATTACACTTATCTTTCTTTAGTATATCATATATTTATTAATATCATTTTGCATGGATCAAATATTTTTATAATCTAAAAAAACAGAAAAAAAAATATCGAGATTATTATTTTCTTGTTTATTTTGTACACCGGTCAAACAATTACTCTTTCTTGATATACACACAGCTCATAGCATCAGACATTTTGTCAAAAACAAAAAAAAAAAAAAATAGAATAAAACATACATTTATATATGTATATACATAACAATAAAATATTGATTGCTCTGAATAAAAGGACCCACTCGAAAAAAGAAAACAGAAAAAAATGACTTAGAAAATAGCCCACACTATATACAATACAAAAAAGAAAAAAAAAACAGAAGCAGACAAAAAGATTATTGAAAAATAAAAAGAACAAAAAACGAAACAGATAATTACTTTTTTGCCGATTCATCAGATACGTCATCATCATCATTATGAACAGTAGCCATTCGTGATTGTTGACCAGTATAACGTCGTTTTTTAAATGGTAATTGTTCAGTAGATTGTTTATTAGTTTCTAATGATCGTTGAATTTGTTTATCTTCTTCATTATCATGTCGTTTATTTTGTAAAATAGACATTGATTCACTTGTTGATGTTGATTGAAGAATATTGCATATACGTGTTGATGGTACAGGTGGAGGTATAGGTGGAGGTACAAAAAAATTTGTTTGTGCATAATGTGCAAATTGTAATGATCGATGATCAATTGGTGTTAATATATGTACGGGTTGTGTTGGATGTTGATTTGGACTTGTTATTAATAAAACACTTGTATTACTAGGTAAGGATGTTAAATCAAAGGGTGTACCAGATGGATTTGTTGTTGATGTAGCTGTTGTTATATAAGCAATATTTGCTGTTGGAAGAAAATATGTTGGTAATGAATGAGATTGGGTTAATGGAAATAAATTAGTTAAGTGTGGTAATGATGTTGTAGGAAAGCCTGTATTTGACGATGATGGAATTTGTATTGGCATTGTTGTTTGACCAGTTGTAGGAGATGAAAAATGAGGAGATTGAGATAGAACTTGTATACGATGTGATTGAGATGGTTCAATAGATGGTGATGTTATTGTTGTAGAATTTGTTTGAGGATATTCAGTAAAAGCTGTTGGAGCATTTGAAATAAGAGATGAATGAATTTCTAATATAAGAACAAACAAAACATTGAATAGAAAATAGATTTTTTTTTTAAATATTAATAGCAGATGAATAAATACAAAATTTTGATGTTGTGACTATAGATATTGTATCGCAAGATATGAATTTTGAACAAGATGAAAGTAAAGTTGAAGAACAAAAATTTTGACGTCTGATCAATGTTCTTTGGCAGTGTTAGTCATCATAAAAAATAATGATAAGAACCTATTAGCGCAATCACTGTAGAATTTAAATGTAATGTACTACAGTGACGTATCCAGGATTTTTTAGTATGCTGAATCTTGACTTTTGAGCATGGGACCCAAATGAAACTCATAGAGGGTGATGTTGAGTCCAAATGATGGAATTTTATCAAAAAAAATTTGCACTCGGAGTTTGCGAAAAAAATTAGCATTTTCCTGATCCCCCCTCCTAGGATTTTTTACTGTTAGTATTATCTTGGATTTTAGAATTTCATAGGAAGCTATACCGAATTTCATCGACAGATTTTAAATTTCGTCTAAAAATGTGCAACCGTTCAAGAGTTATGATGTTTTGAAATTTCGAAAAAATTGTTTCCACATGTGGCAAAAATTCAAAAAGTTATAACTCTTGAACGATTACATATTTTTAGACGAAATTTGAAATTTGTCGATGAAATTCGGTATAGCTTCCTATGAAATTCTAAAAATTAAGATGCTACTAACAGCAAAAAATCCTAGGAGGGGAGATCGGGAAAATGCTAATTTTTTTCGCAAACTCCGAGTGCAAATTTTTTTTGATAAAATTTCATCATTTGAACCCAGCATCACCCTCCATGAGTTTCATTTGGGTCCCACACTCGGAAGTCGAGATTCAGCATACTGAAAAATCCTGGATACGTCACTGATGTACTAATATATTCGTTATGAAATATGTTATTTATAATATTATACACAGAGTTTGGAAATGAATCCGAACTAAAAATAAATTTAATAAGCTCACAGAAGGCTTTAGTATCGTAGCTAACGAAGGAACCTCTTCAGCTACTTGTTTCCGGTTTCAATGATATTTTGCTTTTTGCCTATCGATACTATATAATATTCTTATAAAAATCCTAAAAGGATTTCAGTTTTCATTGATATTTGACTAAGCTATCGAATTTTGATCTCAAAACTTTGTGCATATAGAAAACTCAGTTAGACTAAAGGATGTGAGTGTGGTGAAAGCTTCATATCTCGAAGAAATTTTGTCATAATTCTTGTGAATTTTTTTTATGAAATCTAGTTTAATTGAATTTTCTGTATGCACAAAGTTTAGAATTAAAATTCGATATCTTAGCGAAACTGAAATCCTTGTAGGATTTGGATTGTTGCTCGAAACATACGAAATACATTTTCTCCTTTTTTTTTCGTATTCGATGGCTAGCGTACCCTACACATTTATTAGATGATTGGAGTTGGTGTTACCAGATAGGCGAATCCAGAATGTAAATCTTAAAATCTGGAAAATTCCGGAAGTGTTTTTTTTTTTAAATCCATAAGGTCTTTCGATGGTCGATTTTAACTAGTTTAGTTACAATCAAAATATAATTAACTAAACGAATAACAACCAATAAAGCATTACAATTCGATACTAATGATGTGGATACACACAAAAATCTTTGTCACTTCGTTTTAATTAAACTTTCTGCAATTGTAAGAGAAAAAATACGCAGAAATGAAGGAAATATAATTGGTCCTTTGAGATGATTAATAAAAGAAAAATAAGCTTCCTTCAAATTCTTGAAATCTTTTTAAGAATATTAACAGATAAATGAAATAGAAAGTATCTGAAAGTCAGAAAAACTTGCGAATCTCGAAATTTTTCTTCAAAATCCGAAAGATCTGATAACACTGGTTGGAGCCCATTGGGTACAAAATTTTCAGATCCGAATCCGATTAATTCTAGGTGTTATTTTTCTTTAATTCTATAATATCTTTGATAAAGTTATGCGAAAATTTCTATTAGAATCTTCTACTTAAAAATTGAATTTAAAAAGTAGTATATAAGAATTCTCAAGGCTTCCATTCACTTCATTAAAATTTCAAGTATTCATCCAAGGGGGAGTGTCTCGAATACGTGCAAAAGGAAGTGACAATTTCAATCTTGGAAATTTTTTTTTTCTTCAACCGGAATTCCGATGTTTTCTTTTCTCATCAATTTTCAGAAAACAAAAATTCAATGCTCTCGCCCATCCTGGTAACCTCGGACCATTTCTGCATTCATTCGAAATTTTAACATTACTAACAAATTCAAGTAATAGTGTGAAGTATATTTTAATGAACTACCTGCATTTCTTGATGTAGATGAAGGTGTAAAATGAACTGGTGATGAAGTACGATGTTGTTTTGTACGTGGTGAACGTAATGGATACGGCATATGACTTGGCGAATGTATATATGGACGTGTAGTCGAAATAGATGAATGAGGAAGTGGAGTAGTAATTTGTAATGGTGGTGGAGGACTTGTTGAAGTACTTGTACGATTTTTAGGCAATGTACTTTCACTTATTGTTCGTGAACGTGTTTGAGGTTTACTTATTAATGTCATTGTTTCAGCTCGTTCTTTTAATTTAGCTGTTTGCTGACGAGTTCGACGTATAATTATTGGTTCAACAGAATGTTTTTCTTTTTCATTCTTATTTTCTTCTTTTATATTACTTCCAGATGTTATCTAAATAAAAATTTCAAAATAAAATTCAATTATATAGTAAAAAAACAAACTTGTGTTGATGATAATTCTCGATAATATTTTTCATCTAATTCAACTCTTCCAACACCATTGATTTGTTGTGATTGAGTATTGGAATGCTTTTTTGTTCTATTACCATGATCAAAACAACCAAAAAATTGTATACATATACCATCAACAATCATTTTTCCGGAAACACGAATCTAAATAATGAAATTATTTTTCTTTGTTTTTAAATGAAAGAAAAAAAGAAAAATATTTTTGCTTATTTTACTTTTGATTGATCATTTTCATCAGGAATACTTTCAACAGAATCAAGAAATAATGAATAACCAATGTCTCGAAATGTCTAAAATTATTAATTTGATTAAAAATGAAAGAAAGAAGATATATATTTGAAAAAAAAAAAAAAAAACCATATACCACAATTAAATGTTTATTTGAAAGATCTTCATCAAAACGTTTTGTTAAATCAGTTAAATCTTGATTTGTATTGATACTATTATCACCATATTCATTTCGAAGTGGAACATAGAATACCTTGAAAAGAATAAGAGAAAAAAAAAAATTATGCAATAACTAATTAAATATTTATTTATGAATGTTTTTCTATTTTACATCAGTTTCATTTAATAGTTTACTTAATTCTTCATGTTGTTCAAATGAATCTTGTTGAGAAGATAAAAGACCAACTTCAATGGGCATAGTTTTTTTTTTTTCAAATTTTTTTATCTTTATTAAAAAGTTTCAATTATCAATAAAAATTCATATATGAATCAAAATCAGTTGATTGTTTATGTGGCTGACGCGTTGCTGGGTGCGTGATTCCTTCTAGTCTCATGACACATTTCTGTCATTGGATTGCACGTGCCATTTTTCTTTCCTCATGGACTTCGTTATCGACAACCAATCAAATGTAACATAGAGGAAGTTTACTAAATAACTATTCGAGAACTTTATACGTATTGAAAAGATAATCATGTAAAAATCTAAAACTATCAATCTCTCTAATCAATACAATATTCTGTTATGACTATTTATATTCGTTCAGGTACTTGTTCACTTTCGACACATCCCCTCACTCACACTCTTTGATGTGCGTGTGTTAAACACGCCAATTAGTGTACAGAGTGTGTTTAAAGTGAACAAGCAGCCAAAGTCAATTTTATGATTTGAATGTTCATGATATTATTCATATTATTATCATGTAGCTGCATTTTGATATAAAAATTGATGTTTTCTATTGAATGACATTGTCAATAGCACTTTTATAAACCGCAAGAGTCAAATCTATATTCGAACAATTATCTTATTTGGGATTATATGACGATTTTGATATTTTACTGAATACACAATCATCTACAATCATGCAAAAATACAACAAATATTTATACAAACATTCATGATCACTCAGAAAAAAGTCAAGAACGTAAAATATGATTAGCTGACTTCTTTCACTATGAAAATACACAAATTTGAAATGTGCTGAATTAGACATTTGACCATTGTTAGATTTGTATTCCTTTTTTTTTAGTTCAAATAGCCAACAGAAAATATTTTCTGATTTTTTAAAATGATCATAGTTGATCGTATATTCAGCAAAATATCTACATTTGCATATAATTCCATATGAAATAATTGTTTCAATATAAACTTTATTCTAGTTATTTAGTATGAACTATGGTTTAACAAATGCTTTGATATTATCTTTTGCTTTAAATCATAATGCTAATGATTATCTTGATCATAGATTTTCATATGGCAAAAAAAAAACTTTTTTAATAAAATTGATTATTATGCGCTTGATTTTATTTCAAGTCTAAATTGCTTTTTTAATTAGATTCCATCTTATTTATAGTACATTTTATGTACTTCAATCATTTATATAGAATTCAACAGCAAATGTTGATTTAAATTTCTTAATTATATTATCGAACTTGTTGTTTATCAATGATTTAGAATGCTCGTTGGATGAATTTTGCTAAAGTTCACCAGATATTGGGGAGAAGTGTTGAATGCTTTGTTTTTGTTATTGAGAATTGCTAAAAAAATACGATGCTAAAACTCTGCTGAAGAACAATGAAAATTTATCAAGATCAGAGAACATCTCCGTATAATCATTTTAATGCAAATTTCGCTGAATTATTTAAATTGATGTTTGTGTTTTTTTTTTATTTTGAAGATGATAAATACCATAATAAAACGTTCAATAATACGTTATTATTCAATTGGTAATTCAATATCAAAACGATATTTATCAAGTGATTCTGGTGATGTATTTAAATTACAAGAACGTGGATTTTTCTGTGATAATCTAACTGAAACTGAGTAAGCTCTATTTTATATGAATTTATAAAAAAACGAAAAATAATAATCGCTTATATTTTTAGTGATAATCTTAGAAAACTTGTTACATCAAAAAAACAAGCAATCTATTGTGGATTTGATCCAACAGCAAAATCATTACATATCGGTAATTTAGTTGGTAAGTCAATTTTTGTATTTTCGATTTTACTTAAATAAAAAAAAATTAATAATTTTATAGGCCTGATTGGATTACTTCATTGGCAACGAGCAGGTCATCAACCAATTGCACTCGTAAGTATATATTTGATAGATAAAAATAAAATTGTTCCGATCTCGGCAGATTTAGGACCGATAAATGACTAATTCTACTCATATCTAACATTAGATAAATATATATTTGTGTGTTTGTCTGTTGTATTATTTTTTAAATTTAGTTAGGCAGTGCCACAGTACTAATCGGTGATCCATCTGGACGATTACAAGAACGTAAACAAACTTTAAGTAATGAAGATATTGTATCTAATACAGAGAATATTGAACGTTTAATACGATTGATATTTCAAAATCATGAAAAATATTTTTGGAAAGATCAACAGAAAAAATTATTACCTTTGACGTAAGAGTTTTAAGATTTAGATTTTCTTTTTTTTTTTTTTTGTTAATTAATATTTGTTTAAATAAAGGATAGTAAATAATTTATCATTTTATGAAAATATGAATACAATTACATTTGTTTCAACATATGGTCCACATTTTCGAATGAATCAATTACTTTCACGTAAAGTGTAAGTTTTTATTTTGAAATAGAAAAAAAATAAAATAAAATAAAACATTTTTATGATTAATAAAATTTAGTATTAAAACACGTATTGAAACATCTCATGATGGATTAGGATATAATGAATTTAGTTATCAACTTTATCAAGCTTATGATTGGTATTGTTTATTTAAACAACATGCTTGTCGTTTTCAGGTAATTGAAATCTTCTATTATAATCAGTTATCTTAATTAATTCAATAATATGTCGTACTTGATTAAGGGTTCGAATGTGACGATACTAGAAAAATGGACAATTTCATAATAAATTAGTCGTATGAAGTCGAGAATACAAATTCATAGGAATCTAATTTTTTAGTCTTTCTCGAGTTTGAATAGAACCTATTCAATGAAGTAAGACTCATTACAAACATGATTTTGCTACTTGACGAATCAAAAGTTAGAGAGCCTATCTGTAAGCTCAATACTATGTCTACAGTGTTGTTTTAAAGTACAACACTCATTACATTTCGTATTTCATTCGTATTATGTATAAAAGAAAAATACATAGGTTAGTCAATAAGTTCTCGGACTTTGAAATATTTATTCATAGAAAAAAACATTTTGTTAATCTTTTTACAGTAAATGTTCAAAGTAGTCCCCACGATGTTCAGTACAAAGTTTCATCCTTTCAATCCACTCCTGGAATGTCTTTCGGTATTCTTGAATAGATATTAAATTAAGCTCGTTGGTTATTGCTTTAGCTAAACTTGTAGCATCTGAATATGTATCNTTTTATTTTATATATTTATTATGGAATTGAATCCACTGTGCAAGGATCAATTATTCAAATAATGACCAAAAATGAGTTATTTTGTTTATAGCTTTTAGCCTTCGAAATTCGATCAAAACCTCATGCATTTAGCACCAAAATGTTTGTCTCAATTTGCTCTTTCTGTTGATATAAAATTCAATAGAGTTTGCCAGGAAAAATACTAATGGACCGATTTGACGTCTTATGCATCCCGTCCTTACTATTGCTATTTAATGAATTAATTATTGTACATTTAATAATTTAAAATTGCTCAAATAAAGTTTTTTTATTGCTTAAAAGTTGTTGCTAAATCGTATTTTAATTATTGCTTATTTCAATATTTTTATTGCTCAAATAGATACTAGTCTTCTGAAAAGATGGTGTGGGTATGGGTGTGCGTGCGGTTGGATTGGAGACTCACACCCACACCCACACCCTCGTTGTAGAAAAACATCGGGCTTTCGAAAGCGTCCTTGGACAGCATCCTATACTGAAAGGTAGCCGAAATACAAGGATATTCTTCTTTCTTCTTCTCTTCTGTTAATGATTGTACTAGTAACTTCATAAGTAAAACCGAATATCAAACAAAAAGTCACTTATATTCTGAAGAGAGTTTTTTTTTCGAATTCTAGACTTTTATTCTCTGGTATTTAACGTAAGAATTGATGTATTTTGGAAATTCCAATGATGCCTTATCCAAGGCTATGAACGCAAAAAATCGCACCTGGATTTTACTTAGACTTTTTTTCATGCTCCAACTTTTCTTCAAGATGGTGTTGAAACCTGTAAGACATGCCAGTTTGAAAGACAAATATTAGCAAATAAAATCTGTGATTCAGAAAACTTCGTGTGTCATAACCAATAAAAATGTTACTTTATCTTTTCTTTATCGAATACATATAGATAGAATCATTATATGTATAAAAGAAACATAAATTAAATTTTTTATTCTAACAAGTACAAGATAGAATAAAGAATAGAGAAAGATGTCATTTGTTATCAAAAGTGAATAGACAAATCCCCAGTACAACAAATGGATGTGTTAATTAATATACTTATAACCAACATCATTTTTTAGATGATGTTACTAAAAAAAATCAAGCAGAAACATGAAAAAAATACTTGCAAAAATTTTTCTGTGTATTTTATTTCTATCTAGAGAATCATAAGTTTTTTTTCAGTGCTTGGTAAAAATTAAATATGAAATTCTTATAGAAAAACCATGTCTGTGTTATTTATTTTACTTTTATCTTTTAAGTAATAAATATTCTTTGTTTTTATTTATGCTTATTTTCAAGAAGTCAAAATTTTCTTTATTTTTATTTTTTAAAGGTAAGCATTTTATTTGTATTTATCCTTTTTTTTACAAAGAACAATCAAAATAAAATAATGCTCATAATTTACTAGCGTGTGTAAGTTTTTATGTTGTTCATCTTATATAAAAAGTTTTATCAATGAAAGAGAAAAATAAAACTACGATAATTAAAGTCTTATTTAATTAGTTTTCCTGTGATAGCATCTTTAACAAAAAATACTGGAACAGGCATATCACAGTGTTGGTATTCAATTTTTGAATAAATATTTTTCATGGCATCGAAATAATTTGTAATTGGTTTAAATCGACAACCATCACCGATAATAGCCCATAGTGGTTCAATTACTTTTTGAAACCCATGAATAAATGGATCAGTTTCATAATTAGCAAGAGTGTGTTCGAAGAAAATAAAAGTTCCACCGGGTTTTAACACTCGATGAGCTTCAACAAGAATTTGTTGTGGTAATGGATCTGGTACACTGCATAATACAAGTGTCATTATAATCGTGTCAATGCTATTCGATTCAATTTCATGCATATCTGTTGCCGAATTATTTAAAAGATGAATTTCGTATGAAATATTCCATTGTTTAATAAATTTGTAAAAATATGAATGCATATGAATATTAGGTTCTATTCCTATATATGATTCAACATTCGAATTATTATGTAAACAAGGAAAATTTATTCCTGTGCCAGCACCAATTTCTAATACATGACCTTTAACATTAGAATGTTTTAATAATTGATTACATCGTAGATTCATCATGGCAGTATCATTAGGATCGGACATTCGATATAAAAAACTAGCAAAGACTAAAAAAAAGATGATTCATATAAAAATATATTTAATATAGTTTGATTGATAACAAAAACTTAATAAAATGCTTTAACATACATTTTTGTCGATGAAGATTATCAAGTTTTAAATATCCAATGCCGATTGCAATCAATGCTATTATGAGAGATAAAGTTCCAAAAAGAAATCTAAGAACACGACCCATATCTATAATAGAAAGAAACGTAATTCTGTAGAGTTACAAAATGATTTGTCAATTGTTTGTTGTATTATCATTCGAAATACGTCACAGATAGATGTTGTATCTGTTCATTGAAAAACACTCAACGTTATCTTACATAGAACTAGTAATCTAATGAACAAATACTTATGCACTGAAAAATTTATGTCCTTGTATAATTTCAGCCAATCATCGAAGTTGGTAATCTTTCGTTCTTTCACTATATTTTATAAAGGTTATACTTTTCTTAGTATGGAAGTTTAGAAACACAATGACTCATTTGTAAATATATAAGATGGATGAGTGCTATAAGAATCACTGAATGGTACATAAAACAATATTATTGAGAGTTAATAAAGGTTCAGCTTACATATTTAGTCTGATGGATCTATCAGGCTTCAAATATGAGTAAAACACAGTGTATTTCTCTTTAGAGTTTTGAGAATATGTCCAGATAAGGCAGAAAGGACATGATTCAAAGTTCAGTTCTGACTCATGAAAATTGCACGAGATATTCAACAAATAACAGTCCAAAGTAGGATTTCGTTCATTTTTGCTGATTCCAATGTTCCCGAACGAATTTCCGATTGAAAATAATACGGATCAAATTCAATCCAAACTAAAGATGACATCGGTATGATCATGCATTACGGTATTTCATTTTTTTTCATATTGAAACATCTGTAACTTCTCAGTGACAGAAGAAAATTGTTTGAGATTTTCATCGATTTCTCTTTGGTTACAGCAATATTATTCAACAAATATCAATCGTTACAGAAATCTAAAAAATGAAATCTTTTTAAGGATCGCTAAGAGTTAAATATTTTTATACCAAAACAAAGAAACATTCATAATTTATTCAGCTTTTAACAGCGTGTAAGAGTATCAGATCATTACTGATCGAGCCTGGTTTCATCAAATAAAAGATTTGAAATATGACTCGTTACCAAATATTGTCTTTTTTGACATTCTCAACGAAAAGGTTTGAGGACTTAACATTTCAAACTGTCATGATGAAATTTCATCTTCTTTCTAATCCTTAAGTAGCGTAATGACAGTTTTATTGATTCAGTATGTTAGTATTATTCTCATAAAGATACTGTATTAGAATTTCTATCGTTTTTTTTTGATAGAAAAATGTAATGTATTAATGTGAAAAATTATACTTTTCTTGTGAAATTGATCAGCAATTCTCTTTTCATACTTGGCAAACGAATAATGGACTTCATATCATTCCTCTGCTAAGTATTTCATAGCTTGCAACATGTTTGATAATCCTTCAATAATGCACTTCCAATTGTTGAGACAGTCTTTGCCACTTTTGCAATTTCGAGCACTCCTCATACGAAGGCGACCAATGCGTGGTTATCCTCGTGTACTATTTGACACTTAATTAGTTCATGAACAAATCGATGAATTAATATCTGAATCGACTATCGCGTAGAAGCGGGGTGCAAGTGTCATTGTGAACAGCTATATACTCCTACTCACCCGATTACATCCGGAGGAAAATTTTTCTGAAGTCTTCTATTGGCTATTGAAGTTTCTGCGTCATTAATAGGGGTGCACCAGCTCCAGCTCAAAAGCTGAGCTCAGCTGAGCGAAAGAGCTGTTATATTAGTTCTTTTGATATGAGCTGATCTTTTTGAACGGTTCTTTTGATACAAGTTGAGCTGATCTGACCAAACAGCTCTCATTCCTGAACTGATCTTTTTGAAGAGCTCTTTTCAAAAGAGTTGATCTGATAAAACATCTCTCTTTCACGAACTGGTGCACCTCAGGTCAAAAAAACTAACCACGATTTTTCGGGTTCTACTTCCACATGGGGCCTACAACTTGTGAAGGCCTACTTAACGGTAGTACTTAAACTCGAGGCGTATCCTATAGAGGTATCCATAGCTTCTAATGTACTATCCTATAGGAGCACCCAAAGGTTCTCAAGACCTATCATATAGGGGTACCCCTAAGCCCTCAAGTGCTCTCCTATGCAAGTACCCATAGGTCGTCAAGGCCTATCCTATAGGGGTAACCATAAGTCGTCAAGGCCTATCCTATTGGGGTACCCATAGGTCGTCAAGGCCTATAGTTTCGGGGTACCCATAGGCCCCGAAGCGCTATAATATGGGGGTACCCATAAGTCCTCAAGGGCTCTAATAGGGGGTACTCCCAGGTCGTCAAGGCCTACCTGTAACGAATTTAATTGAGGATATATAAGTTATATCTGCTATTCGTGGTGAGATATAGGGTAGCAACTCGTAAAAGAGTGCGAATGGTATAACTAAAACCATTGAATAGTACCCAAAGTAGATAATTTATTTATAATTAGTTTAGAACAAATAAGTTAGCAGCACTCTGATTTTGGTAAACATACGTATGTGATATTCACAACAATTGCACACAAATAGTTTATTCCAGTACACACCAGAGCTATGTGGTCGCTCCTCGGCGTAACTGGATGTTACTCTGTATGCTTCTCGACACAAAGTTTTTGCAACTGTCACTATCTCTAACTGCTACTGACTGATTCTCTTCTAATTCTACCTTCTCCTCCACAAAAACGAACTAGAAAGAGAGAGAAAGAAAAAAAAACAAGGACACAAGTTGAAGAGAGAAAAATGAAAAAGAACAAACGGAGCAAGGACATGAATTTAAGATAGATACAAGAAAAAAGCAGGGGCATGAGTTTAAAAGAGATAAAAGAAGAACAGCCAGGACACTGGCTGAAGAGAGATACATTGCATATATTTCAAACAATATTAATGGATGTCCATTGGAAGGACGCTCCTTGAGAGTTCAGTCATATCTACATGATGTGCTTCTTGACTTTATGTCATGGAAAACGACGTTTATCGCTCATTGCACAATTCCATCGCTTGTCTCATGATGGGAGTACCTTCTCTAATCTTAAAAGGACGTCCATTGATTTAGTGCGATTTCAATATGTTTTCTGTCCTTATACTTATGTGCTCCTTGTGACACTACCCTATGGGGGTACCCACAGTTCCTCAAGGCCTATCCTATATGGTACCCATGGACCCTCAAGCGCTATAATATGGGAGTGCCCACAGGTCCTCAAGGGCTACCCTATAGGGGTACCCATAGGTCCTCAAAGCTTGTCCTATGAATGTACCCATTGGTCTAGATGCCCCGTTCTATAAAGGTAACAATAGGTCGTCGAGCCCTATTTTATGGAGTTTGCATAAATTCCCGTGACCTATGACAGGCTTTGGCGACGTTTGAGAACCCCCACAAAGTAGGGCTTGGGAAACGATGGGTACCTCTATAGGATAGCGCTTGAGGACTAATGAGTAGCCCTGCAGAATAGGCCTTCACCGCCAATGAGTACCCCCATAGAATAGGCCTTGAGGACCTTTGTGTACTCCATATGGTAGTACTTGAGGATCTATGGGTACCCCTATATGATTGACCTTGAGAACCTTTGGATGCTCCTATAAGATAGGGCATTAGGATCTATGGGTACCTCTATCGAATACGCCTTGAGTTTAAGTACCACCCGTTAAGTAGGCCTTCGCAAGTTGTAGGCCCCATGTGGAAGTTGAACCCGAAAAATTGTGGTTAGTTTTTTTGACCTGAGATCCACCAGTTCGTGAAAGAGAGATATTTTATCAGATCAGCTCTTTTTGAATTGAGCTGTTGGAAAAGATCAGTTCGTGAAGAAGAACTGTTTAAACAGCTCAGCTCGTATCAAAAGAACTAGTATAATAGTTCTTTCACTCAGCTGAGCTCAGCTTTTGAGCTGGAGCTGGTGCACCCCTATTCTATATAAGGAGGAAAATTCAATCATTAAATAAGATGCAATAATGACATTGTAATCTATTAGACTCTTGATCCTAAGAAACAAAATTTTACTCTAGAAAACAAGAAAAGAAAACAAAACTTTGGAATAAAATCCAAACACGTCTGCGTGCGATGTATTTTCACTGCAAAAAAAAACATTATTGGTTATGTTGGAAAGTCAGGGATATGGTGATAAGGGCGGGGCATACTCCACTTTTAGAAAACTGTCTTTTTTTTTGCAGCCAAAATTTTGTTTTATTTTATTAAAAAAAAGATCTTAAAATGAAAAAATCAAGTTCAGCATCCCCAGTTTTTCTCTTCGTCACATCCCTGTTGAAAGCTTTTTTTTGTATGATATCTCATTGAGTAGAGTATTGGATTCACATGCTTTTCCAAGCAAATGAATTGCATATTTCAGTTATTGGCCATTGTCATGCATGTTTTTACGTTGATGTCTCTTAAATAAACAATAACAAAGACAAATACTTTTCTTTTGATAATGAGCTTTTTTATGTTTAGTCTGTAAACGATGAAGTATATGAATCAAAGGGTTGGAGATAAAACAATTTTGATATATTCCTGTCAACTGTAGCGTCTTTAAAAATTGAATTAATATTATCACATATATCATACACTACTTCTCACATTGATTAAATTTGATTTTTTTTCTCTCATATGGAAGTTACATTATCGGCATATAATTTTTTTTAACAAATCATATTCAGGCGCTACATTCAGTATTTAATAAAGATGCTTCAGAACTTCCAAACAATATATTATGGAATCTTCATTTAGATAGACACAAAATTAAAAAAAATGCTCCAATGGTACAAAAATAGCTTAGGTAACATCGTTTATTACTAGATATCTTTTGAAAACATGAGATTTTTATTAACCGATAATACAAGAAGATACAACCGACAGACCACCTTCATCAGTGCTCATTTATTAAAAAGGTTATTATATGAGATGTAATTTTAAAAAATATGTCCTTTCGTCATCAATATACTTTTCTCTTTCGAATGCAAACGCATACAATACGAAACAAACAAATAAGAACTTTAAGTCTTTTTTGCTACATATGGTGATATGATCTCGTCGAATATTTCGTGAAACCAGCAATAATAGGGTGACTGTGAACTTATATTTCAGCTACTTCAATACCTCACACCCGAGCAAAGGCATAT